TGAGAACTGGCGACTTTGTAGTACAACTTTAGTACGCGGAGCAATCTGTGGAGCTGGAAGTTGAGAACTGGCGACTTTGTAGTGCAACTCTAGTGCGCGGAGCAAGACGTGGAGCTGGAAGCTGAGAACTGGCGACTTTGTAGTACAACTTTAGTACGCGGCTGAGTCATCTCTATGCTGTATTTTGCAAAAGGCAAGACAGTTGACGGTGGTTGCTTCGCTTTCGCTCCATTGGTCGGTCCCAACTTGTTTTGTCAAAGAACATCGCAGCTCGGCGAATCAGCCTGCCACATGCCCTTTTCATATAGGTTTATTCTTTTGGAAACTGCCGCCGCCGGCTTGCCCGGGAACTACTACTTGGTTACACAAAACCCCTTAAAGATCGAACACGTGTCGCAGGTTGCGCGGACCAGTGCCTTGCCAGGATGGCCCTTCTTGCTGGCAGGCACGGCTTTCTTTGCTCGAGTACTCATCCAGCATCCTCAAGTCAAAACCTGACACCCGTTCGCCTGAGTCTGGAGGACTCCAAGTCCAACCTCACATCGCATTTTCTGAGGAGAAAGCATGTTTGATCCTGGATGAGTGTGACTCGCAAATACAACTTGGGTGACGAGCTTCACGACCAGGATTCCACTTCAACTTTAGAAAGAATCCGACTTCCAGAAAGGTATGGGCGCGGGCAAAACCCAAGAAGTATGCTTGACCATTTTAGAGGCACCCTGCTCTTTCCCAGGACGAGTCATAATGTTCCATTCTTAAGATACATTTACACCTCCCATAGGACCTAAGGCCGAGATTAGAGGCCCTAAGGCCGAGATTAGGCCCTAAGGCCGAGATTAGAGGCCCTAAGGCCGAGATTAGACTTGTGGTTAGGGTTTGGCTCTATGACATCAAAGTTTATTCGCTTGTTCGTCTGGCGACGGTGGTGTCACGATGGTAAGCCACCCCTCCAGAAGAAGTTGATAGCAGCGATGAACTGGGCACCTTAGGTAGAATCCACTGGAGGTTAAAGTTCAGTCGAAAGCATCAGCAACTTAGGGCTCATGTCTCCAATGGTCTGCTCTGGAGGCCTATGCGTGGCCTTGGGCACTGTCGTGTCTTATTACATCCCAGGCCCTGCAGTAGCTTTGCCGCAATCAAGGAACGATATACCTTTAGCGGATGTTTTCGGAAGTTTTGATAACTGATGGGCACATGGAGTCGAACTGATCCACAAATTAGTTCCTTTTTGTAGAGAGTTAACATCAATTTACACTGGGATGTCACAAAACTGTGTGGATCGGATCCGCAGTTGCTCCAGCTTCCACCGCTCACCATCCTCCAAGGTGCCAGGTGATCTCCTCCTTGGCCACCGACACCACCACGCCCATGCCGATCCGCACGCACGGCGCATGGCGCAGGACCGCCGCAAGGCGCAGGGCGCCTGGCGGCGCCGTGCTGGTCGCGCGCGGCGGGTGGGGTGGCCGCCATGGGAAAGGGAGGAGAAGGTGGAACTGATGTGCTTGGGAGCGGTGCTGCTGGAGTGCCATGGCTGAGGAGTGACACGGCTGGGGGTGGAGGTGAGAATGAGATCATGTGTTTGTATTTCTCATTCGGGGCGCATTTGGACGGGGATGGATTGGGTTCCAGGTGTTTGCAGGCTGAAGTCGTGCTGTCCAGATGCACAATGTCCTGTTTCCATTGAAGCAAGGGGTGACCAGTCCAAACAAATCTTGTAAACATGCCAATGAACCACCTCACCTCTAATTACTTGGTCATCCATGGAATCCTCTTCCAACTCAACTCAGGCAATCGAGATACTCCTCATGGTGAGCCACCTCCTCCGGGCAACGTGTTGGCCCGACAGCGCCGTCCACGCCCGCGGCCCCGCAGCGTCTTCGCGAGCACGATGGAGTCGACGGGACGAGGCGAAGGACGAGTCGACGAGGCCAAGTTGACCGCCGAAGACCCGTGGTGTGAAACCGAGACCCAAAGAGATCGGTCGAAGTGAGGCGGCGTGAAAATGGCAGCATGATGGTTGTGTGGAACAAACACCAAGAATATGAAAAGTATCCAAGAGCATCTCTATACCAGAAAAAAGACCCTTTCCATGCCTTTCCGGATTTGCTACCAGAAACTACTCCCCTGTTCAAACTTGCTGAGTAGAGCTGCTTTCCGGATTTGCTCTCTTCTCTGGCGCCACCAACTGGCGCCACAAAGTCTCTGCCAAAAAGGTGCGAAACTCTCTTGTTCGTGCCATTGAGGGTCCCCAGGCCACAGCCTTTCACTCAGGTCGCAGAAGACTTTCCTTTGGGACATGACTCAGCCGCTTCCCCAGTCTGACGGATCCGGGTGGAGAGCCTGGGCCGAGATGCTGAACGTAGAAGGCATGAAGAAGGTATTGCTTGAAAAAGCCGTTTGTCATATTTTGTCATTGAGGTGCTGGCAGATCTCTTCTTTACTACTATTGGAATCTATTTGGAATCTATTTGGGTCATTAATTTTTGACATTGACAGGAATCCTACCCACAGCCCATGGAGCCCATCGACCAGAGGTGACCAGGGGGCATGCCCCGGTCACCACCGAGGCAATACCTGCAGCCATGTGCTCACTTGGATGGCCGCCTAGCAGAGCCTCGGTCCGGGCGATGGAGATACCGAGCCCATCAAGATACACCATTTTCGCGTGCGGGGGGGGCAGTCCACAGCTCGTGGCTCCTGTTGTTTGGTGTTTGCGGAAAAAACTGTGGAACACATTAGATGCTTTTGGGCATGTTTTGGGGTTGGAAGACCAGATGGCCTTTGAATCTGCAGGCCTGTGATCAAGTCTTGGAAGACTGCAGCCCTTGAAATCGTGGACACATTGAGTCCATCCACATCATGACAGATCGGTAGACCAGTCTGGCAGATGTACTGATGTTTTACCCCAGGAGTACTGCAATTTACAGATATCAGTGGATCATATAGTCAATCTCTCATACAACCATGTTTTCTCTCGGAAGGCAACGTATGAATTCTCTTCCATGTATGAGCTTAGCAGGGGCCAGGAATGTGCTCCCCTTGTGCAGATGAGGAGACATGCTCCTCGCTGGCAGCCGCCCTCAAACGCGACTCGCGGAAGGTGGGACGGAAGGAGTCGGAGACGGAGTCAAGAACAAGCGTCTTTAAACATTCCTAGTAGCGTCCGATCGCTCCGTTCGTAGTAAGGCCAGGAGCCCCTTTCGTAGCGCCCTTGCTCCGTTCGTAGCGATGCCCGAAATGCTCCGTTCGTAGCTTCTTGTCTATACGATTGCGTGGTTGTCCAATGCTTACGATCACCCTTACTTAGCTGAGTTAGGTCGTTGGACTTGCCAAGAGTGTGTTTTGAGCAGCACGAGACACGGACAAAACATGCATCCAGTTAAGGGAGGAAGTCCACAATGCACAGTCAAACGGCTTAGGGTATTGTGAACTTTCTCCCTTAACTGAAGACTTTTGGTCAGACACACTGAAAAATATCCACTGCGATTTTCTCCTATGCCTTCGCAGACAGCAGACCCATGCAGACCAGTGATTTTCGAATCGTCAAGAGTCTGTGCCAGTCTGTGCCACGTGCACGACCTCTCTGGGTGCCACTGGCTCGACCTCTCGACCTCTCCGGCCAGTCATGTGACCAACCAAAATGCTGCAGGTGCCACTGGCAGCACCAGGAGGACATGGTTTGACCAGCTCCCCCCGCAGAGATGAGCAGCCCAGACCAGGCTGGAGGAGGGGTGAAGAGAGGGGAGAACTGGTGGTGTTTAGCAGTGGTAGAGAACACACACCCAGTGTGCAAATGAACCTAAGTGCCAGGTGGTGTGGGAAAACCAGAAGACACCAATTTATCTCTTCCCTGTTATCATGATCCTTGGACTTGAACGCTTGCATCCAGGGTTTGTAGTTTGGCAAACCATTTGTCGGGTCAACATCGGTGCTTTGTACCAACACGTCGGGTCAAAATCCGACTTGCTTCGGTTCATCAACCAGGGCACGAAGACCGCTGGAGATTTGTTCAGGGCGCCCCTTTTTCTATTTGCCGACTGATGGTCGGCGTGTGCAGGGGGCCGGGAGTTGCGCAGCTCGGCAAGCTGCCTATACCGATATATGCATATATATGCCTATAAACGAACCCCCAAAGAGGTGGGCAACAAACCAATGTTTGACTTGTTAGGGATGTTTGGGGACGTGTGAAAGTCAGTGAATCGATATGATGTTGTAAAGTGGTTAGTAATTACATGGTTGACCTATTTGTAATATGTAGCTCAGATCCTCATTGTAGGTTTTGAGTAGTTTGATGGAAGTGGGCGGAAGCTACCAGTCCAAAGCTGAAACGATACGACGATACGGGGTCAATTGATGGTTTCGTTCGAACCGCACCGAAGCTGGTTCGTTGGATGATGTCCCCTGCCAGGACAGCTTTTGTGGGCTACAACACCTTGACAACTGTTTTGGGACATTCCGCTTTGGACCGGCAGGATGGTTCATGACAGGTTTCAACAAGGCCACTGCCGCCCCAGCACTGCCAGAGATCCTCCCAGGCGCCATGGCAGCGCCCGTGACTGAAGAGGCTGGGCTCCAAGCCAAGGTGGCTGAACGACCTTGATCTTCTTTGCTGGCCCTAGGGCTCCTGGCCCATCTCCTCAGGTTCGGTGGTTAGACCCCCTAACCTCATCTTCGAAACGGAGGTGAGGTGGCTGGAGCCCTAGGGTGGGAATCACCACGACGTGGGTTATTCTTGAACAGACTTGGTCAAAGGACTCAAGGAAAACAGCAAAGCCAGTGGTTGCTGGGACAGGCCCCACCGGTCCACGATTGGCTTGCTGCAAGACAAGAAACCTATCAGAAACCATTGTCTCTAATGCCTGAGATGCAGCATTGGATACAAAATAGGTGTGTGCGTGTTTCGAAATTTTAACTGTAGGATCACCCCTTTTGCCGTGCAGGTGCTTGTCTCTTTCAAAGCCACCTCTGAAGCAAAGAAGCTCAACGGAAGCTTGATCGAAGCATGGTCGGCCGTTTGGTCAAGATTGAGCCAATATTAGGGAAGACACTCCATGCCTACATTGACCCCCAAAACCACCCCAACTGATCGGCATATATGGCAGTCCCATGGAGTGTTTGGGTTAGGGAAGACTCGGGCCCAGTCTACGAACGGAACAGCAAAGGGGCCTCGCGAAGCAAACGGAGCGGAACCACGGACGCGACGGAGCTCCGGGCTCCTGGCCGCCAGACCGAGTAGGGTGGAGTCAACAGGGCGGACCTGCCGTGCCCACCACACCGACTAACGGGTGGAGCAGTTCGTGGAACCAACATGTCATAAAGCAAATCCAAGAGCTCTGGTCCGTGGCGACCCTATTGGCACTCCTTGGTGGTATTTTTAGATTTCGATTTAAGTGTTAGCATGTTTGAGCCATCAACCAGACTATTGGCACTCCCAGCAAAGCCAGCGAATGGGCCCACAAAACCAAGCAACTTCGCCCAACAACCTTCGCTCAACAGGTCCGGTCCCAGCAGAGGTCCACCGGGGTCCGGATCCGTCCGTCACTGGTCCACCGGCTGAGGCGTCTACCGGCGCCGGACGGATCTCCAGGCGGAAAGCGCCAGGATGGGTCGAGGTCGAGAGGTCGAGAGGTCGAACGCGGAGGTCGGAGGTCGGAGGAGAGTTCCTTCAGAGTTTTAGGTCAAGCTTTGCTAGCCAGGTTCTTTGGACGTCATGGCTTTTATTTTTCATAGATTATATAATAAAAATAGTTTCAACAACTGCATCCTTCTCCTTTTGGATATGACTCGGTATGAGGTTCTCAAGCATAAACTTCAAGGATGTTTTGGGCGGAATGGCCATAGACCAAATTCTTAAGACATGAATTCGATGTGTATTGATGAAGGCAACCCCTGCTGGTAGAGGTGGAACAGACAAACATGATCATACATGTGTAGCTGAAGAAGAGACATATGCTCAAACATCATGGCGCAAAATCAGTTTTTAGTTTTTAACTTAGTTCTTCAACCTGGTCACCAACCGAGACGACCGTGACTCAACCGGCCGAGCCGTCCCAAGCTTCCGCTTCCAGGTGAATGGGCGCCCGGTCTATTGCAATGGTCCGGGGCCTCAGGACGCAGCGCCAGTAGACGAACCGGGCTCGATCTCGCCCGAGCTCCGCGCTAGCTCCTCCGCGCCAGGAGAACCCGGAAAACCGAAGGCCGTGATCTGGGCCTTCTTTTTCGGTGCCGATGTTGGTCCGAACGCTGTGCCTTTTTGTTTGGCGTCGTGGTGGAGGGGAGAAATCAGGAGAAATCCCTGCACATTTGGTGCACAATGTTGACAAATGCCCTGCAAAAACATTGATATGATCCTGTCTCGGGTGGTGCGAAATTCTTTCTTCTACATAGATCAGTGTAGAGTGTCGCTCGTCGGTTTGTCTTCCTGTGCTGCTGAGGCAATCGGCACCTCCTTTTCATGGCCGATGGTGCTTGGGTGTCTCGGGCTGCAAGACCAGGCGAAGCAGCTGCTGCAGGATCTCGAGCTTGTCGATTGAGAAACTCGAGCATTTGATGTGCCGAAGACTCACGGGACACCAAGGAGCCGCACTATCCCACACTGTTCATGTCGTTGGTTCCATTGAATGTTCGAAAGGGAAGCCCACGCAGTCACCTCACCGTTCCTTTTGCACCGTTCCGTAGTGGGGGATGCAAATGGAACGGTTTGCCGCTGAAATGGATGGTGTGCTGGGCGAAGGACTTCTGTTCAACATGGAAGATGTATATAAAAGCATATTGCAGGGCTCCAAGTACGTGTTTCTATGATGCATTCTCAGATATTCTCAAGATGTGATGTTCCTGGACCCTTTGATCTATGTCCAAATTGAAGGCTAGAGGCTACAGTGTATAGAAGCACAGTCGGAAAGGACATGATTGCTTGAACCCAGCTTCCTTACCTCGATCTCTTTGTACTCTTGTGAGGTCCTTCGACTTATAGCATGTTTCATCTGACACTTAGGTCATCAAAGAAGGTCCCAGCAGCGAGGAGGGGGCCTACGCGGGAGGCCTCAGTCGCGTGGTTTGCTTGGTCAGCAAGATTACAGGGTTGCCAGTTAGCGGGAACTGCCCTAGCGCATATGGGATCATTGAGAATTGACCTGGCGACAACTGTTGGATCATTTTCAGGTTGTCATTATGCTGTGCAAAGCTTTTCCACGGCACGTATGTAGGTCCATTGCCAATCCATTTTCAGACCTTCAACGAATACTGTAGAGGTGACACTCACGTAGACAGATGATTCTTTACTGGCAACATCCAGGAAGTGGAAGTTCCCCTTGCCCATGGTCACATTCGTTGTGCTTTAAGAAAAGGCCCAGGGCTTCAAATTCAATTTTGATCTACAATGCGTATGACCTCACCAAGTGTGCCTGTGTTGTCACATGCTGGTCCCTGGCGGTAGAAGAACTCTTAACCCTCCGATGTTGAAGAAGCCCGATTTGCTGCGCCTGGAGCCATGATGAAGGATTTTCTTTTCATATCTAAGAAGTGTTGCTGGTATTGTTACATTCACAGCACCAAGCGGACAGATTGAACCCGAACAAGTTGGCCGAGGCGCACGTCCTGTGTGGAACTAACGCCGCGTAGCAGGCATCCAGTTCGTTTGATGCTGCCTGGCCCATGCCTGGCCCATGCCCATCCCTACCGACCTGCTACCGCTCCTGCGGCCAAATCGCTGGAGGATCCGGACCGGAATGTTTGGTGCACTGAGGGGTGCAGATGCATGAGCCGGGAACACTGATTTCATCAGATTTCTGCATCCCGGTCACCATCGAAGTACATCGAAGCTACATGTCTGGGAACCATCGAAGTGGGAAAATGGCCTTTCGAAAGAACCCAAAGGGGCCGGTTGGTCCACTTGAGTGTACCAACAGCCACCCTTCCAAAGACCATACATTCAAATACCCTTCCTGAGGGGGCGTCCGGTTTGAAGCGAGTGATGAGACCCTAGATCTGCCACCGCAAACCGCTGAGGTCTACGCTTATGTGGAGGACCACCGGTGCAGAGGTATTTTGTTGAGACGGAGTGAAACTGATTTCATTTAATAACAGCTTGAGCCTGTCAAAAGACACGTCCAGTGGTTCTGGTTTCGTGTTCCTCCTACAAGTTGACCTCTTTGGATTGGATGGTCGAAGCACTCGGCCTGTTTTCGTCTTCATCCGAAGGTGGCCAGAACCAAGCATCATTTTTCTTGGTAGAGCAGGGCAAATCAATGTACGTGAGTCATGAGGCGGTCGCCACTTTCTTCCGCAGAGGACTCAGAGGCACAAGAGCCGTTTGGTGTTCGAAGACCCTGGCAGGCGCGTTCCACCCTAGCAGCGATGGCCTCCAGCCTAGTAGCGATGGCCTCCACCCTAGTAGCAGTCTTTGAGTGGTTTCTGGACTCCAGAGAGTGGAGAAGTTGGATACCCTTGACATGCTGTGCTTCCAAGACCATGTCCATGATATGACGGTCATTGGATGTCATTGGTTCCGGATCGAGTAGATGCTGTTGACATTGGAGATTCCATGAGACTCCGCAAGCACAGCAAGCACGGTCCCCAAATGCCCTGAACATTTCCTGAGGCCTTCTGACGAGAACGATGGTTTCTAAAAATACCGTCCTTGCAGTACAGGCCCAGGAAAAGCATCCAATTTGGATCCTTCTTGGGCAGGAAGGTCATCCCAAATCCCACTGCCTGCCCTTCCCTCCCTGCAGACCTGGTGGACTGCACCCCGTCCTCTTTTCCTTCGCCCCGCGGGCCGCCGGCGGGTCCTGGTCGGAACGCGACGGACGAGGTCATGGATGACCGGGACGGCTTCGTGGTGGAACGGGAGGGGCTGGTGAGGCGGGCGGGTCGAGTGAAGGTGCGCAGTACGTAGCGGACTTGACCTGAGATGGGTTGAGTTGATGTGGAGGTTTGTACTGTGGGGTTTGAAGGTCCCAGTCAATGAGTCAATGAGTATGTGGTGAGGACGGAGGGATGTTGAGGGTCCTCAGATTGGAGATTGCCATGGCTTTTGTTTGTAGGAGGATTTTCCGCCGGCTTCTTGCATTGCGATTCCTTCTGTTTTGGTGAGGGATCAAGGGATGTTCCTTTCAGTGATGTGATGTGCCACGCTGGAGATACGGGGAGGCGGGAGGCAGAAAACCAGCCTCAGAAGAAAAGCAACACAATCTGCTTCAACTCCCTAGAGGCCCAGCAGGTCCGCAACTTCGGGGGTCTGCTGCTTCTCGGTATCCTAATGGAACGAATGGTCTCGTTCATTTTTTTCAATCGAGATCATGAGCTACTACATGTAGTTTGTTCCAAAAAACATCGCTATTAGGTTGGAGGCCATTGCTAATAGGTTGCAGGCCATCGCTATTAGGAATGTTCTCAGTTTTGATGTGACTGAAGACCAACACCGAGGGCCAGACCTTGCGTTTGAGAGCCACACCTCCAGGCGCAATGTTCGCTGAATCTACGACCTCGCCCAGAAAAGAGAAAAGCAGCGGCAGCGTGAGATGTGCTGGGTTGAGGGAGTATGTTTCAAGCGATGAGGTTGTATGGAAACCTGCCTAATTCATATGGTGTTCCTGTTTTTTGAGTTCGTTTTCCCAATACCCAGAATAGAGCTCTTCTTGACCGATGCTTGCCTCGTGAACCCGTGGGTATGCCTCGCTTCTCCCTAAAGAGTGCGAAGATGGCACAGAATGTGTCCAAGTTGCTCGTGCCAAGAGCTCCTGCCAACAGCAATCACCCAAGACTCAATAGCTCGAACGCACCATTTCGTGGGGTGTGTGATGCATTTGGATCGGTACAGATTCCTTTTGGGAGTAGGTCATTACTGATTTCAAAGACCAAGCACCCGGGGTCCTGGAGTACAACGGCATATTCAGTCCTGAACCTACCTTCGGGTCGCTGGCCAGGTCTGAACTTCTTCTTCACCTCTGGAACTTTGGACACTTCATGAGAAAAGCCGCTGAAGATGCATATTCTCAGGGAAACCATCAGTGGCGCGATCTTCTTCGCCCGATTTCTTCGCCGAAACTGCACCGTGCCAAGCAACACCCTGTCACCAGCTTCGATCGAGAAAGCCACACCGCCTGAGTCGCTGATTGCTCCGTTGATCTTCGTCGCAACACTGAAGCCGCAACGCTGAATCCGCAACCGATCGATTTTGAGATGTCTGCAGATTGGATTGTCTTGCAAGGAAGACCGCTCCGGGAATGCTGAGGGCTGAGGCCAAGCACGGAGCGATTTGCACAAGAATGTGTTTAAACGGTTTTGCCGCATGTCATGCATTTGGAGGTTTGATTTGTTGGGTTTGGAGATTAAGGTGAGCCAGGGCTCATGTCATGAGACCCCCAATGCTCAAGGACCCCTGGAAGAAGGACGAGTTCTACTAACTACGCAGTAGTTAGAGGGTCTTGCAGTCTCCCTATTCTTAGACCTTCACTGTCACTGATACTGTATTTCACCGATACGGGGGCCAGTTGCATCCCAGAGTGGTCCAGACCCTTGCAATCTTGGATCGGAGGATGAGAGACATGCACCCAAGAGGTCAAGGCTTTTCATGAAACACCCTCTTTTGGGCTGGGAGAAGTCTGGGGGAGATCTCGCAGCTTTGTATAAGAACGAGGCCAATGCCCAATGGTTGGGAGGTGCGACTGCTAGATTAGACCTTTGTAGGGTTTTTCAGCACAGCTTGGGATGAGTCATATAAGTCTTGGAGCTCAAGGAAAACCGCGGATCGTCTGGGAGAAGCGGATTGTTTTGGATGGTCTGTATAGACATCCTTAAGATAGCTCTGCTCTTGATCTCAGAAGTACATTTGGGTTTTGGTGACTTTATGTCAATCATTGTCAATCTCTTTCTTTTTTCTACTCACTCCTCTTTGCTTGGAACCTCTCCGCGGAAGCCCAACCTGGTTTCCCAAAGGGCTTCCCAGTTATATATATATAATTACTTCATTGATCAATACCTTCTCCGAAGGGATTTGGACTCCTGGCACTCACCCCAGTCCCACCTTCGAAACGAAGGCACGACTGGAGCCTGGATGGGAACGTTATATACTTCATTGATCAATCGGGCTGCATTTCTCTCCATCCATGCCATTTGCTCGCGCCGATCCGATCCGATCGCCGGAGACCGCCATCCGATTCGGTCCTGAAGAATTCCTTTGGACCGTTGGTCGCTGAGGTAAACATGGTAAGCTTGACCAACCCAAAAGTTTGCTGTTTCTCATTTCCTGCTCCACCACCCCCAGCTCTAACTCTTGAGGCAAGCTTAGACTGCTGCACATGACCAGCAGATTCTCGCAAGGACTTTCTTTTCGAGGGTTCTTGAGCGGCTGCTCACACTGCGCTGGCGTTCGGCGCGCGTGCTCTCTTGTTTTGGAGTGTTCAGTTTTTGAGCGGGGTTTGCGTTCTCTTTGTCATTATGTTGTTGATTTGTTGCTCCTCCTTGGCTGTTTCCCTCTTCTTGGCCACGTAGTTGGCTCCGAGGATAGAGTTCTGCGGTATCTCCAAGAGTTGCAGATTTGCAGGCGATGAGATGAGAATGGACACTGGAAACATCAAGCGTGCCGGCCATGCAAGGATCTCGCCGCATGAAATTACAACTGGTTACCGTCCCTTCCAGCCATTTGGAACACAATGCCAAGGATTTGGGGTGAACATGGGCCCTGTTGCAACTGGGCCAACCAGCCAATCTCAGCATGCAACCCAGTGTTTTCAAGGCACCCTTAGGATGCTCCTCGATGTTGTGCAATTTCCAACACCAGCAACCAACCCTCCCTAAGACTTGGTTATAGGGATGAGCAAGTGGGCAAGTTTTCTACTGTTTGTTTGCTTTTTCGAGCGCAAGAAAACGCGTGTCATGCACTGCTTTTAGTGGGTGTGCGAGCCCAAGGTTCTAAAAAGACACCCCAAACCAAAGAGACCACAGCTAAAGATCCAATCTTTAGGGGAGTGCATCATTGTTTGAGTGAGATGACCAATAAGCTCGTTCTTTGTCTAAATGGTGGATCCTTTTGCCGGCTCGTTCTGCAGAATCTCAGGCGAATCTGGACATGTGCTGCCCCAAGGGATACCATGCAGTTCAGCAGGCAATGTTTAGGGAGATTCGACGTTTTGCCATTTCTGACTGCATCACTTGTTGCATCGTTGCAACAAGCAGAACAGGTCAGGGATGAAGTACAGACCCAGGTCAGCCGAAACATCGATGTTCTTCTGGCATAGCTAGGGTCCAACCCTCCAGTCTTAGGTCGATCTTAGGTCTCATCATCAGGTCGGTCGACTCCTCAGGTCGACTCCTCGGGTCTGAGAATTCGAGGGGTGTCCCTACCGACCCCTGAAAACACCCTGATGTATGTATACATGTCTTACATGGAGTGTCTGGGATGGATTTCTACCTGAGACTTGCTGGTACCCTTGGGCCTCGTTGCGTGGCAGAGACCCTCGGACCACCGGACCTCCGGTTGGAGTGGCGTGGCGGGCGCGAGGTGAGCGGAGCGGACCTCGGGGCAGAACCTCGGGGGTTTGAAGCCAGTGGGACTAAATAACACCACGTAACAGGCATACTAACAGGCATATAAGTTAATGTATATAACTGCATGTTATGTTGGGTGAAAGATGGTTTGAAGCCAGTGGGAGTTTTTTGGGTTACACTCCCGAAAACTCACATAGACCCTGTGGTTTTGGCTCCCTGGATTAGTGTTTTCCTCTACCAACAGGCTGACAGGGTCCATGTTAGTCTTCCAGGGTGTAAACAGTGGTTTCAGAGGTTCGATGGCGGTTCCCCCGAGATGTCTTGGACAGAATGGGGGTCCATTTTTCAACCACCGAAGGACGGGGGGCCCTTGTGCCATCTACTCTGAAACTGTAGGTTTTTGGCTTGGGGTATAGTCAGTAGGTCAGTAGGCCGTGCTAAAGTTTGTGTTTTTGTCTAGAGTCTAAACATGACTGGCTCTGGGGGACATCTTCTCAAAGAGTGACATAAATATGTTGCGTGATTTTTGCCCGTTGTTTAGACAGCGAAGAAATGGACACACAACCAATGCGGGCCGCCCATCTTACGGTGCAATCGACTGGACACTGTTGGTTTGGATCTCAGAAAGAAACTTGGTCATATGGGTTTGTTGGTGATCATTTGCTGACTCGGTTTGTCCGGGGAATGCAACATGACGATCCGCCAAGTGTTTTCTTCCAATGGATGCGGTGTATAGTATTATAGAATATAGACAGATGCATTGCAAATCTGGTAAAGCCACAAGACTTCCAGTCTTGGGGCATTGAGGTGATGCAGTTACTTCATGTCTTTAGTGTTGTTTTTTATTGACAGCTATTAATCAGGATGTATCAAAGCTGCTGTTCAAAGTTTGACCCGACACGTCACATTGCTGGCCGTGTTTTGCTGCTCTTCAGCCGCTTCTCTTGAAGAAATCCGAACTCCCATTCGTTAGCTTTTACCTGCCAATAGGGCAGAAGTTTCGGCGTCGACCCTTTTTCTTGGAGTTGCTGTTCTGCAGTTGTTTGTTAGGACCCTAGAAATAGGGTAATCCCAGAGTATAAGTAGAATATGGGGAAATCCGGAAATCAACAGGAAAGCACCTACCTACATGTCTTGAAGGTCTTGAAGTATTCCACACTAGTCAGCTATTCTTTCGAGGGATCTGCCTTGGAGCTGCACCATTTGTGCATCGCTTGCTCGTGACCTCCGAGTTATGGTGCAACTAGTAGTATTGCACCTCAGAGTCGTAGTAGATCTTTCAGGCTTTGGATTTATTGATCCATTTGGACTCATGTCCCCGAGCAACTACATGTCTTCCCGAAACATGGCGTTCGAACCTGTTGAAAAATGGGCGCCCAGGATGGTCCCGAACGACGTTCCCAACCCCTGGCGGCCCTGGTGGTTCCAAACAGAATATCAAACACTTCTTCAGAACCTTTGGTGGCCACCAAAGTCCGGTTGATGATTTCAAGTCCTACTGACTCGTGCCTTCTGCCAGACGCTTAAGCAAGAGTGGAAGAGTTAGCGCTCCCTCTAGAGGTCCGAGACTCTCTATAGGTTATAACTAAATTATGATACCAATCAATATATATGTTTTTAACATTGTGTTCACATGCGTTTCAATGTTTGCTTTCTATGTTTCTTGACAATTGAGTATTTTAGTGTTCACTATTTAATTAGTTTTATTGTTCCCTTTCCATTTCTCTTATTATTGTTTCTTGGGTCGACGTCTCATTGCTCGCTGTCGAGCTCCAACGGTGGCGCAGAACCTTGGAGCTTGTGCAGATCGCTGCGGCGGTGTGGTGTGGTGTGGCGGGAAGCCGCCGCTCTGTGTCGTTCGCTCACGACGAGCGTCGTTCGCACGCGGAGCAGGCGCGTTTGGTCGGAGCAAAAAGAGATGCTCCAGGGTTGTGTTTTGCTCGTTGGATGGACAGAACTTCTGAAAACTTCGACAACTCCCATGATTCATCATGATTCCATGTTCCGGCTCTTGAA